AGTCAACACCGCGAGATTTCCATCGTCACCGGCACTTACAATGGCACTCCCGTCTCTGTTGTGAGTACAGGTATGGGCGCGGGCAGTGTGGAGATTGTGATAAATGAGATTCATGTCTTGAAGGAGTATGATATGGCTCGCCGTGCTTGGCGTCCACGTGCGGGGGATTCTGCGGTTGAGGGAAAAGAGGCGAACACCGCCGAGTTATTTGATCCCGCAAGTGTGAAAATAATTCGTGTGGGGACGTGCGGTTCGCCCATGCCTACAATGCCCGTCACGGCCCTTGCGGTGACTCGCTATGCCATTGGGATGGATAACTCTTGTCTTTTCTATAAGGCCCCGGAAATCGCGGCACTGCCGGATCTGCAGGAAGTCCGCCGGGCCGTACGCGAACACACCGGACTGCGGGATTTTGACATTTACGTCGCCAAGGCCCATCCCACCATCACACAGGGCATTGTGAACGCCTGTGAGGCTCTCAACCGCAAACTCGGAGCTGCAACTTCATCTACAGACAGTCAAACCCCGCAGGCATGTGTGGTGGGAGCGACGGCGACGACGAGTGGCTTCTACGCACCGCAGGGACGAGTGGTGGGCCGTTTTCACAATCACATTACGGTGCCGAATTTGGTGGATGAACTTGGGCAACTCCGCATGAATGTGAGTGAAGGCACAGAGGTGGTGGCGAATATCGAGATGGAGACCAGTGTCGTTTGCTATCTTTCGCAGTTGTTGGGATATCGGGCCGGGGCGGTGTGTGTTGTTGTCGCGAAGCGTGCGGGGGAGAAGCGGGAAACTGCCTCCGTCGAACAGACAAAGAAAGCCGTCTCTAATGCCGTTCGGGTGGCACTAGAGGCTATTGTTGCTATTTAACTAATAAGAAATATATATATATATATATATATATGTATGTATACGAAACGTATTATTATGGGTATGATGATGATGAGGGATGGTCAAGAAGAAATTGTGCTGTAATGCACATACAGAACAGAAGAAGATGAAGAACAACAACAA